TTCGGAGCCGCAATCGGAGGCGGATAGTCGCCCAAAAGGACCGCGGGACATTAACTTTATTTTACTTCGAAAATGTATCAAGTTTTGCTGACGGTTGCAGTACGGATGATTGTGTACCTCATAAAATGTCAACTGAAAGTTTTTCTGTGTAGGATTGCTATATTTACTATCATGGAGCCTAATCATAAGATCTTTCAGTCATGTCCGTATTCCGGCGTTCGAAGGAGCTTTTTTCTGGTTTCCTGCAAAGATTTATATTTTGTAAGCAATGACTGCGTAAGTTGTATGCGTTTTTCTCATTGATTTTCGATGCCCTTGTGAATTCGAATATATTTCGTAGAAAGCATATCGAAAGATAATTTTCTTGTGCCCAGTTAGTAGGAAATTAAATTGAAACCATTTTGCTTTAAAGGAGTTTCTTATTATACGATTTCTTAAGACTAGGAAATTTCATTTCATAAATCATCGCATCTGATGAAGTATATGACATGGTCCACATCAATTGCAAAATGTTATAAGTAACATGCCACGTGCCCTTAAAGAAACGCGAAGAATGCAAAAGCGACAAAATACGCAAAACTTGCTGACGTCATAGAATGCCGTGACCTCTTATTCAAGGTCATTTTGCCTGTTGATGAGGCGAGATAAACTGTCCAATTAAATATCGACCTAGAGCGGTGAGACAAACTAGCTAAATAAAGCATGAATTGTTGGTATGAGAGACAAATGCGTATGGTGAAAGGGAACGGAGAAGGCTTATCTAAGCAAACCAGTTCAGATTTGATGTACGTGTAATGGGTTACCAAAATATAAAATATGTTTTCCATTTATAAGAAGGTTTTAAATTAAATAGTAAAATACACATTAATGAAATAGCCATTTCTTGCAGAGCATGGTTTTTGCGGTGACCAGAAAGAACCTCGTTCAAACACCGGCATATTTACATGACTAAAAGGTCTTGAGATTAGGCTGCACGATAATGAATATTAAAATCTTCAGTGATTCGTTCGAATCGAAAGCGCATTTTAAAATTTTGATTGGCATTTCATGAGATAGGGAATTCACTGTAAGATGCTGCATACGGCCTTTCAGTGACCCACTAATCTATTCTCAGTTGGGCCTGGCTGCTATGCCTGTCGGGCGTAATCCGACAAGCGCACAGGGTAAGATAATTTGCTTGCCTTTCGAACCCTGTGTCCTGCCGTACACAGGAGGAGGATAGTGAGAGATAGGGGGTTATCATTCAAAACTAATTCACGCGTAAGTCATCGCCTTCGCCTTTAGTTTGCTAAAGCACGCGATAGACCTCGCCGGAACCGACGATCGAACTGTCTTGCTTCCGTTTACCTAATGCCCGTCATCACGAATTTCCACTGTTACCGTTGTTTCTACTGCCATTTGTCGACTGAAATTATAAAATTAAAACATTTAAGAACGTGCGCCTGACCCATCTACTTTTCACATGGACACCACTTGCAATGGATCGTAGCGTAGGCCTTACCAGCCATCGAATAGCTCACACCCAAGTTGTCAGGTGCCGTAGTTGTCGTTGTTTTTGGTGGTAGTGGTCACTTCGTGTTGGGTGCAATGGCCTGACAGAGATGCGGGTAACGAGGCCGCCATCCTCCTCCGAAAGCACCTTTCGCCTGCCCGAAGTATTACACGCAGTACGTCCACAGCAAATTCGTGATTCGTAATAAACTGGGCATGCACCTCTGTTACGGTCTACCAGTAAGCGTTGAAGAATGATATCTGTAACTCATAGTTACTGTTTCAGAAAGTCGGAGAAATATACTGAGGCCTCTCACCGTCCGTTGGCTTCGGCCTTCGCCCTTTTTACATCTTTCTTTGAGGTGATTGATCTGCCCACTCTTAAAGGGCCTATTTGCACAAAGTTGATGGCCCCCTGCTCCCCACCGCCCTCTTACTGTTTTGAGCAAGTGCTTTCCCTCCAGAATTTTCCCGGCTCTGAAATTCTCGCACACTTGCATCAGCACGCGTCTTTCGTGCATACTGTAGGTGTCGTGTGCACCGTGAGTGACTTTTTCTACGAAGCCGATTGGTTGGCCCGTTTCAGCGTACGCAAACATCTCTCTGTGTATGCCACTTTTTCTGCTTTTACGCCACACCCTAGTTTCCTTCCGTCCTGCAGACTCTCGTGACAACCAGCACTTGAATTCCCAACCGACTTCTGGGTGTGTTCTGTGCTGAGGATTCTGCCACCTGATCGACTTTCTGCGGGCGTTGGCGATGTCCTCTTGAAGCAGGAGGGAGGGAGGGGGTGCGATTGGGCTGCTTTTGCCTCTATATTAGTATTAGTGCAATACCTACCCTACAGCCAGCAGAAAGTTTTTCAGATTGTGTTTGACCTCTTATAGTTGTTTTGCCTCCACGTTGTTTTTCCTGCTGGGCATGGCCTTTTTTGGCTGTGTGCCGCAATGTGCTAGCAATCGACCTACTTAAATGTTAACCGAAATTCCGAAATATCTTTACACTCAGCAAGGATTACTCAGGTGGGATTGGAGCATTGACTACCGTACAAAAACATAGTCTCGCCAATACAAGCGAACATGCGTGTCCCAGGAAGAAATTGAA